GTGCAGTGCACTTGAACGTCCCTATTACTGCAGCCCTTTCATCTGAAGTGCTTTCCACACAACAGAGAAGTGATCGGAAAGAGTTGCAGAAGCAATTATCGCTGTAACACCTCAGGCGGAGATTTGCTTAGACTGGAATGCAGATGATGGAAATGAGAAATTCTTTGCAGGCTTCAATTAGCGCAAGCTTTATTTGAAATCACTGCGCAAAACGAGTTCTTTCATCTCCACTTGGATGGAGCTCGGATTACCACCGAAATTACTGCCTCAGCACAAAAATAGGTCATAATCGCAAATGGAGCGGAAAATGAGTCCGACTGCTCTTTTGATTCGAGATCTTTAATGAGAACAGATTTTTCCACTGAAATAAAAAACGGAAACGGTATTAATTCGCGTGTCGTCCAAACCAAAGAGCATTACTCTTTCACTCAGCGTTTTTTTGCACGTCGCGAAACATTGATTTTCAGACGTGTTCCTTGTTTTTGTCAGCAACTCTTCGGCTGACAACGCGTCTGATTTATTGAAGTGCGCTCGAATAATTCCGCGCATTATGCAGCACCCCCGGCTGCCTGTCTCCGATTTTTTTGCGCCATTAAGTCGCGCTGAGAAAAATGAACTTTTAATTCGCAGCTCCTCTCTTTTTATGCTCGTCTTGGCTGCGGAGAAAAGTCTCTCACGCTCGATTTGCATGCGCCGTTGTATCATATTTACGCGAAATGAGATTTCGATCGGCGGGCACGCCGACGGGACTGCTGCTGCTGAGCAGGCTGAATTTTCCGCGCTGATTAACGCTGTTTGTTTGCGCAACGCTTTCGCAGCACCAGATTGAAAGTTTGACCAGCTGCGATAAACTGGAGGGTTTGCCCATCAGTTTGAAAATGAATGCTGCAAAAGCCTTTTATAAATTTTAACAAGAATTTTCAAAAAAAATGGAATAGGTTTTTATAAAATTGTTCAAAGACACATGTTATTAAAAGTGGCTTGTGAAAGACTTATAATTTTATATTTATTTATTAACTAAATATGACTATAAATTAATGAAAATCAAGTCCATAGGTTTTTTTCCAATTTCTTTTATGGTCATATTTTTAAGTAAATTAAAAAGTCAAACTATTTTTCCCAACCCTTATAGAAATTCATAAACAAAACTAAATTTTTATTGAACCTTTTAACTTCAACCTTTTTTTTTTTGGAGGTTGACACAGCCTGCTTATTTCTTATTTTCGTGCGGAGTATTTCTTTTTGTCGGACCATTGTCGCACTTCTTCTTCTTCTTCCATTCAATTTGGGGTGTGGCAGAGCGAGTTTTTATCGAGTTTGGACTTTTCCGTCGACTCTCCTCGCCTTTCACCCAACTCCCTCAGGCCGACGGTCTCGGATTCGGTGCCTTTTTGCCCATGCCACAGTTTGGCCTATCATTGAAAAGCTAGCTCGCTAGTTACAATAAATGTGTATCCATTTCCGTCGACCAGGAATTTGCATAACGAGAGAGAGAGAGAACGCGGCCCGGCGGCGGAGCCTTTTCTGCGCACACCCAAAATCTAGAGCTCTTTTCCATCACCCAACGTGAAAAATGTGCCAACTTTGCTCCTCTTTAGCTAAACGCCGGCCAAAGCAAAACGAAATAATTTATGCGAGCCGCTCTCTACGTGCCGAGAAGCTCGATTCGCGCAAAACTTTGGGACGAGACCGCCTCTTTAAATAAAAACACGCGCCGCTTTTAATTGAAATTTAGTACCACAGCGATTTCCACCGCTTTACAAGTTAAAGTTTTCCCTACTCCAGAATTTTTATATTTATGGAGAAAATTCATATTTAATAAAAAAAAGTGAAAAATTTATTAGAGATCAAATTACTTTAATAATTAAAATAAACAAAGATAAAATTATGTTTATAAACAAAACATACATGCTTAAAAATAAAAATAAATAAATAAATAAAAAAGCGTATAAAAATTTATAAAAATTCGCTGCCAGCCTTTGCACTTTTAAGGAGATTTACGACGAAAGTTTAGTGGGCAAATGAATTTCTTTTGAAAAAGAAAGTCGCTTCAGGGCATGAAAAACTCAAGTTGATAAATTTGCAGGCAACGGAACGTCGACTGCAGGAATTGAATTACGCAGCGGGGAGAGGCGTAGGAAGTGCAGTCAATTAATCCGCTAGCAACTTTGGCGCTTTCATGGCAACCCTCGCCCCCGAGCTAATCTCGGGCGCACCCCCAGCTCAGCACTCACTCACCTGCCTGAAATGAATCTGCTTTAATTAATCCCGGGCAAAAATCACGCATTGCATATTAATAAACACACGCGCGTATATATTGATTGCCGAGGGTGAGAGAGGTGGGGACGAATTTTAATCCGGCCCGTCGCCAAATCCATCAGAATTCCATCACCAACCAATTTATTGAAAACGTCACGCCATTGCACGCTATTGAATGGAATTTAAGCGAGTTTCTATTTGAAACTGACGGATTCCGCTTTGAAAGTTTTGAATAAAAACTCGACCACTTCAAAGGGATTTTGTCACAGACACATGTAAAACGAGGTGCACATACCTGTGTCTGGAAAAACGAGAGCTTTTCACCGACGGATTCCATTTAGTTCGCATTGACTGAGCAAAAAATGCGTCATCGGAGATTTTTTTTATTCCCTTTCAGCTCTGGAAATTAATCAGCTCGCTCGCATGGCGGCTTTTGAATTAGCGAGGCAAACTTTGCAAATGCTGCCGACGAACTGCCACCGGATTGATGTCGTTTTCCCGTCCCAGCGCATAAACTGCGGAGAGCACGTCGTTGGAATGCAAAAAGCCCGGCAGACATTCAAGTTGGCTTTTTTCCGACCCCTCCATGCTCGGCGCCTCGCTCTTGAGTTTTGACATGTGAATAATGCATGCGCACCATAAATGGGGATTTATATTTTGTTGTTTGGGGCTGGATTTGTGCTTGTTTATCATTGTTTTATTGGCACCGTTCGTGCAATTGAAAAAAGAGAAGATCCGAGAACTGTCGTGATTTATTGCTAGAAAATGTGAATTGCGGCCTACAGAGTGTGCCACACTGTCATTTGCAACTAAATTTATTACACCCTTTCTGGTATTCCCAGAAGAAAATTATTCATTCCCAATATCAAACCTTTTAAAAAAATGGTGAAGACCTTGATTCTAAGAACTTATGCACTTGCATCAAACTTTGTAAATCAGCACAATTCCTCTTTTTAACTGAACAGAGTGGCTTTTTGATGCTCGCAAAGTTTTGCTAAAAAATCCTTCTGTTTATTCACCAGAAAAAGAATTTTCATTCCCCTCCCAACGTAAAACCCACCTAATTAAAGTCTCCCTTTCATTTTTTCGGCCTCGGTTGCCACATTTTTTCATTTCATCCTCTAGGGGAGCGTATCAAATTAAATATTTCGGCTGGAAACAAAAATCCCGCCGTGCTAATAAAAGCGTAGGCCAAACGACAAAAGCCATTTGCTAATAATGACATTACTCCGGCAGCGGCACAATTAGCATTTTGTTGCGAACAGAGCGACAGTTTCATCGTGACATTGTTCGCGACCGCAGAGAGTAAAATGTAAATATTGCGCTGGCGTAACGTCGTTAGCGGTCGTCAATAATGCAATTCGCCCATTAAAGGGAAATAACTAATGAGAGAGAGAGAGAGAGGCGCCCGGTAATAACGAACCGGTCGAGCTGAACGGGAAAACATTGAACCAACGTAATTATGTCGTCAACCTGCGAGAGAGTGAGAACCTGCGAATTTATGCTGCTTACAAACTTGTTTTGCTGCCGCAACCGAAAGGCTGCATTGCTAATGAGGGAGATGCCTGGACGTGCATTCAAAGTAGGACGCTGATGAAATTTGGATCCGAAAAACCTACCCATGCAGGGCCAACTAAAACGGTCCTTTTACATCTAAAAATTAATATACATCGGAATTAGGAAATTTAAACTGTATTTTTTTTTTTTTTTTAATTAAAACTGTTAAAAATAATGCTATCTTCCATTTTTAATATTGTTTGGGTTTCTTTTTATTGATGATTACTTTATGATAAAAAATAATAAAATTTAAAATTGCTAACAACAATATTTTTAATTAATGTTAATAATTCAATTTTAATTGCTAGATTATCTTTTAAGTGGTATCTTTAAACCTGCACAAACTTAAGCACTGAAAATAAAGGCAATCTTACTCATTAAAGCCAATTGTTTGAGGCAAGAAATTATGCAAATTTTAACTTCACTAGATGATAGAAGTTAAAAATTGAACTTTTTGAAGTCTTACTTTGAATGTAATTTAAAATTTAAATTTAAAGAGCAATGTTTATTGGTATTATTTGATGCGACAGCAACTCAATGTTTCAAGTTATAATTTAATTAAAAAAAGTGTCATCAACAACAATCGGGTTGGAATTTTGTTATATCGCTGATTTTTCACATTTCTCTAGAGAGTGCTCGGCCCGCACTTAAAAGGGTTCCGTCATTCTTGTTAAGACTGAACACTGTACAAAATAAAACTCAGCGCCGCGATTGAATAAACTAGTGAAGTCGTGCATTTTGCATAATGAAATTTGCATGTTCACGGCAGTCGACTGCGCGCCTTGCTAATTTCAATTCTTAGCAGCGTAATTTGCAGCGGCATAAAAGTTTCTCGCCGAGACTGCACCAACTAGATGCGATTTGCATAAAAATGAAATGAGCCACTTCTTGTTTTTCGTCCAACTGGGCTGCATGTTATATATTTAATTATTTATAAATTGAATTCGGGCTGCAACTCTAGCCAAATTTGAGGGCGAGATTTTTTGAGGGCGAGAGAGATGCGAGCGGGAGAGAGGGTGGCGGATTCGATCGCCGCGTGTGCGCCAAAGTTTCGCAGACGCGGCTGCGGCGAGGGCGCAGGCTCCTCGCAGCGGCCGCTAGCGAGGCGTGCTGGAGCGATTCAGTAAGATGCTGAGCGCGCACCGGTACGAACCTATCGAGTCTCCTCCGCGTGCAGACTGCGAGCTCAGTCAGTGACGGACACAATGAGTTCGAAAAGTGGACTGCTGTTGTTCGCGGCCCTCGCGAGTGTGGTGTGTGGTGAGGAGCTGCAGTGTCCCTCCTCCTGCTACTGCGACGAAATCTCCAGGTACATTCACTGCGAGGGCGACCTGACCAAGGTGACCAAAATTCCGCAAAAAGTTCCGCGATACGTAGAAAGGCTCGAGCTGCGTGAATTCCGTCTGGGTGCCCTCAGGTGGGAAACGACGCGCGGCGCCTTTCCTAACAAACTCATCGAACTGTCCATCCGCCACAGCGACATTACGGAGCTCATCAACGGCTCCATGGTGATGCTGAACCACCTGAGCAACCTGGACATCAGCCACAACGGCATTCAGGTAATTCACCCTGGCACGTTGGATAACCTGGTGCTGCTGCGCCACCTGGATCTTGGCTGGAATAAAATGAAGGATGTCAAAGGTATTTTCGTAGGTCTCAAAAACCTGGAGACCCTGAATTTGTGCAACAACAAGCTCGAGTCGCTGTCCTTCAAGACATTTGGCGGCCTTCAAAGGTTGCAGTGGCTTGACCTGTCTGAAAATAAAATTAGCAGTGTTGAGCCTGGCACCTTTTTGCCCATGCCAGGGCTGGAAAGGTTGGTGCTCTCCCTGAATCCGCTGAAGAGTCTGCAGCGTTTTGAATTTTTGGGATCCCGCCTGCGCTACATGGACGTGAGTAACCTGAAACTGAAAAGGGTTCCGGAGTCGCTGGGGCCCAGTGTCCGCGAACTGCACGCCGTCGCTAACGAACTGAGTGTGGTGCGGCGAGGCGACTTCGAGAGCTACCCCAACTTGAACCTGCTTGACTTGAGCGTCAATCAGTTGGAAATAATTGAGGACGACGCGTTAGGCCGTCTCGAGTCTTTACTTAAACTGTGGCTTTCGAACAACAAACTGAGCAAAATTCCAAAATCATTGCCCAGGTTGCTAAACATCCTTATTCTCGATTACAACCAAATTTCTGCGATCTCCAAAGACGACCTCGTCGGCCTGCCCAAGTTAAAACAACTCTCATTACGTGGAAACAAAATCACCCAGGTGGAAAGCGTTGTTTTTAACGCCCTTCCAGGTCTCCGTCAACTCGACTTGGCCCAAAACCTTCTCAATACGGCGACCCTGGGACCGAACGGATTAGAGGAGGTTGACCTTTCGGACAACCCAGGCCTGCAGGCCACAGCCGAGCACATTCCGCACTTACGGACCCTGACACTGGGAAACTTTTCCTCCAAATCGTTTGACCTGCAGGCATTTGTGGCCCCCCTGACGGAACTGAGCACCCTGAACCTGGCGGGCAGCACCAGTTTCGCCAATCAATTGCTCGAGTTGCAACTGTGGTTTGGAGTGAAAGAGGTAAATTTGCAAAATTGTTCTCTAAAATCGTTGCCGGCCTCCGTTTGGGCCCGAAAAGGAAAGTTGCGCGCCCTCCATCTGTCGCTGAACCCATGGAACTGCACGCACGACTTCCTGGCCGGTTTCACCAAGCGTGACGGTAAAGTGCGAATCGTAGACGCACAGAATTTGGTCTGCGATGACGGTGCGCCCATTTTCGTGAACGTGAGCGCCGACGTGAGCGCTGAGCCGTCACTGCCGCCGACTCGCACGCAGATTTTGGCGCCTACCTCCATTGAGCCGAACGCCACCAGTAAGCCGCAGAGCACGCTGCCGCTCAAAGTGCCGACGGCCAAAATCACCCAAGTAGCCGATGTGCAAACCACACCTGCGGTGGCCGCCAAGTCAACACCTACAAGCACCAAAACGCCGCAGATCATCCGCAAACCGACATCAATGTTTCTGAAAATCGCCAAGCTGACCGAGAAAATGCTCAAAACTGAAAATCGGGTGCTGGAAAAGTCACGCAAGTTCTCCATTTTCACTCCGACAACAACAACATTGGGCACCACAGAACCGGCCAAAGCGAAGGTCACGATTCCCAACGAAACGCACACGGTGCGCTCGACGGAAACGACGGCCGCGGAGACAACGGCCGAAATAAACCGGGAGGCCGTCACAATGAACTACACCCTGCCGGCCACCGACACCACTGAGGCCGAAACCGAGCCGCCTCCACCGCTGACCACAACAGCCAAGGACGAGGACTTTGAGAGTGGAATGATTATAGTCGGTGGCGAGGAGTTTTACGATGAGCCGCTCAACCGAAACTACTCGGAGGCGCAGGCGGCCAAGTTCGGGCTGCCCCCGGGGGTGGCGAGCAATGTGCCCGTGGGGCTAATTATGTGTCTGAGCTCGCTGACTGTGAGCATGTTGCTGATCCTGTTCGTGTACCACTGCAGACTCAAGTACAAGTGGGCGGTGGTCAACCGGCCAGAGGACGAGCCGATGGACCTCAGGGTGCTCAACTCGTACAGAGACAATGCGGCCGCGGCGGACAACTACCGCTCCGAGTACGGCCCCCTCGACGTGCGCTATTAAGAAATTGAGAGAGCACCTCCCTCTGCTGCAATTGTGATCCGCGAGTGTTGACTGTGTTGGTTATTGTGTGCGAAACGTGCCAAATTTTGAGACAGGGTTCAGTTCGACGATTCCAGTGAATTCATTATTAAAACCTATAATGAGTGAAAAAAAATATAATAATCAATGTTTGCTTCCCACTTCCGCGAGAAAGTCGAGTGAGCAATTTGTAAGAAAAGTTTACGCCGCTTTGATATTTTGATTGACAACTTTTATGATAATAATCTTCCAATTTTAATAAATATGAATATAATGTAAATGAAATATACACTCGATAATCTAGGGAGATACCAAACCATATTCTTCTAAAACGCCAGTGACATTTAATTAGAACGACCGAACTGTGCAGCATAAAAAACTAAAACCTACTCCTTCATTTTCGTTTCTCCTGTGCATCCGTTACTCTCATAGCCAATAACATTAATTTATTCGAACGCGCGAAATGTTGTAGACTGACAGTGTTTTAAACGATGACAAGAAGATTGTGTTAAATATAATTATGTCTGTTCAACGCCGTAGACAGAGTGAGAAAATTCATTCGCTGATTAACATGTAAAACGGAGGAATGCAAAATATAAAAGCTTATATTTGTGTTCTCTTTCAAACGGTTTGCGTTTCACTGAAAAACAAATCCAGCCAGAACCCAGTGCATTTGAAGAGATAAAGCCACTCACGACTAATTCAGCCTCGCAGAGTCATTAGGTTGAATAATGCAGGCCGACAGCGCAAAATAAACAGCACGGCACGCACAGCTATTTTCTCTTTCTCTGGTGCAAAGTAGCAGCGAAGAGCGCACACGTCTGGCTTTGCATATTTATGACTTTACTTATTCGGCTTTAGTACGGCCAGAGGGAGTGCGCCCGGCCGAGTTTGTTTTCCTACATTATGAATTCACAATACGCCTGCTGATTATTAAAGTAACTGTCGTATGTTGTCGTAGTTTCAATTAAAAAGCTCTCGCTGCCAGTTAAGTGCTGTTTTGCTTTCTGAGTTTAAATTCAGGGATACCCCATTTTCTAATTAATTGTTTTAGTATAAAAAGTGTTGTACTCACCAGGGAGTTCTGCAAGGAAAATATCTTTGAGAGCGACGAATTGGTCTTCAGAAGTCATTGCTCCATTGTCCAAACTACCAAGGTCAGGCCAAATCTCACTAGAACAGTTAAATTTTATAACTTAATTAAATTTTAATTCTAAAGACAAACACAGCAGCTTTTAAAGTTGCGACGGCCTCGACAAAGTTCTTCTCTCTCATGTGCTGCTGAATAACCCGCAAGCAGTCAATTCTGCAAATTCCATTATAATTAATTTCTGCATAGCTCAACGTTTACTTGCGTGGAACTCTCACTTTTGTTCGTCTTCAGATTTCTCTGAGAGCACATCAAAGGGCATCGCCACAAAAGGTAGGCTCGGATTCTCTTGAATGACAACAGAAAGCTCCTCGGCCAAGCCTTCTTCCCACAACTCCTCGGCTGTTTTGATGTCTGCAGCTGGCTGCGCAGCTTCTTGTTGTTGCTCTGCAAAATTTTATTTGCCATGAGACCGCAAGTAGGCAGCGAAGGCGGCCAACAGGGAATTACGCCGAATAATTCATCACTGAGTTTACATGAAATTAAACCGTTGCGGTTGGTCCCTTCTTAAAAATTTCAGCGCGGTTCAAGGTACGCCAGCAGGCAAACGAAGTGTTAGACTGTATTATTCACAAAGCAAAGTTGCCTTTTAGGCTGAGCTGGGAAGCTCGACCGGGGAAATAATTATTATTGTATTTCAAAAGCACTAAGCTTTAGTGACTAAAGGTAAACCTACTCTTTTTCTGCTTTTTCTTCTTTGAGCCTGTCTTACGCTTCTTTTTTTGCACCACCATGTTTTGCTTTTTGCAAAAATGCTCCAGCATCTTGAGGAAGACGTGATTCGTCTCAAGCAAATCGGCCAAGTAATTCCTACGAAGCAGAGCCAATTATTTACAGATCAGAATTATTAAGTAAGTTGGGGCGTAAAAGCGGATTTAAGCAGCGTGGGCAGAATCCTGTCTGCACATAAATCATTTGCGAGGAGGATAATTAGGAAAAAAGGAGCTGCCGTCAACGCCGACGCTAATTAGAATTTCGCGCGCAACTTGGCGCTTTCTCCCGAAAAATTCCAGCAAGTGACTTACGTTGGCAATTTGGTAGGGTCGTATGACTGCAGCAGCACTTGGCTCATCTCCCTGTACTCGAGAACGTAGAAAATGTTGCTTTTGATGACGCGGGCCGTGGCGCAAACACCCTCGTCAGCCGATCTGTCCATCGCCTGCAGAGTCATCAATAACTCCTGCGAAATCAATGAGAAGAAGGGTCAAATTGTTATACGCACTATTTCCCACTAGGAATTGAAATTGACTCTTTCAAGAAAAGATGTAACAAGAATTTAAATTTAAAAAAAGAGATGAATTATTTAATTAATTGAATAGAAATAAATATATCATTTAGTACACACTAGGAATAATCGGATTTATAGTTATTTGAACGTTTTGTGAACCAAATAAATTATAATTTTTATTTTATTGTTAGTGACAGCTCCTTATTGATTATGCTGTGCCGTAAAACAACCATGCTTTGCAGGCTGCATAACAGATCATAATATTTTTAAGATAAAAGAGAGGAATGAGTTCCAAGCAATTAAATCAGAGCGACTGTTCCTTTCGCCTTCATCTTTATAATTAACCATGATTTTGAGCAGACGAAATAAGTTAGAGTCTTTGCTTTAATTAAATTTCCGTGAAGAGTCAAACTTTGCATTTAAACAAGTAAAATTTAGCTCCAGGCTGAGAATTCCCCCCCCCCCCCCATACACAGTAAATAAAACAGCATAGTCTGCTACTTTTCTCAAGATAAAAGTTTTTGCAGGGATCGGGGTAATTATTGTTCATTAATGTACAGGGGCGGGCAATTGAGAATTAAGAGCCACTCACCTGGTAAGCCTTGAGAGCGAGGTGCTGTCTCTTGACCCACTGACGCCGGTTCTTCTTCAGCGTCTGCAGCATCTCATGGCACCGATCCAGCTGCGTCTGCACCCAGTGGAAAGTCTGCACCGACATGGTCTCACTGCGAACAGACGCCAATTATAACAGACGGCTTGTTTGGACAGGACGGAGAGTGAAGGGGCGCGCGAGTTAATTCGCGGCCTTTTGTTTCTGATATCATCGGCGGAAGGAAAGAAAAGAGGAAATTAAAACGCGGAACTTGAGCATAACAGGCACAGAAACTTCGTTTTCAAAAGGAAAACAAAAGGAGTGCAGAAAATGCCTTCAGCTGGAACTAAAAAAAAGAAAAGTTTTTCCAGAAAAGCCAGATTAAACATAAACAAGTGGGTCGTAGAAATGGATTTTTTTGTTTGCAAAAGGGAAAAGTTAAGATTTCAGAAGACTGTTGACATGCAATATTGAACACAAATATGTGATATAAAACAAAAAATGTAATATTTTCATTTTTTTTTCCATAATGAAGTGAAGAAATTTAATTTTTCATTGTAATTTAAAAAAGGTTTGAGCTACAGTTATTACTTGGTTTATCTTTTTTTTCACACTACTCTAAATTTTGTTGTTAAAAATGCGTTCTAGTTTCTTGAAGGAAAAATAATCATCCAGGTTCAACCTATTTTGCGCCTCCAGAATTCCACAACGTTATTCCCCTGCAGCAAAATAGGAAAGGGACGATTGCAATGGTGCAGTTCGTGCCCGAGGAAACGTTTGCTCGCTCGCTCGCTCGCGTGTTAAATTGGCCTGGGCGGGATGGCTCTATTTGCCAAATGTTGCAAGATTGCGTGAATATTTCACGTGCCTCCGCAATTATCGTAAAAAGCTACGGGCGGCGCGTGGTGCGCTTTTGCAGTTTCGCGCGCTCCTTGATTATTAATGAAAATCATGTAATGTAATTGCAGCGGCTCGTTTGCTCTCTCAGCAGCAGCAATCTGTTGTCGGTCGGTGGCCGAACATCGATTTATTTACTCATTACGAATTCAATATGTGTGCTGCCGTCTGACACACATCTCTTATTAATCCTACCTCACCAACTCGATGCGGAATTTGTAATTCCGATTGAACTCCATGAAGAACTTGAGCGCCCACAAGTAATACGACTCGTCATTCTCTTGACCTTTGTTCCTCACGAGAGAATCCTGAAACAAAAGACAACCATGCAGTTTGTTTCTGAAGGAAATTCATTATCCTACAAGTCAGAAGATAATTTTTTTGTAGCAAATTACGATTGAGCAATTTTCCTATGCACTGATTAGACGCACAGCTGTTGAGTGCATTTCTTGCAATTTTATAGAGTTCAGTGCAGCAGAAGAGTGTTTGTTTGAAAGGGAAAAGTTTGCACAACGGGATGTGTTTGCAATGAATGTTTTAATGATGCAATCCTGCAGTATGAATATTGCAATTTGCAATCAACCAAAGCAAGAATTATTCAAGAGATTCTAATCCAATTATTTTCAAATACTGAATACTTATTAAATAAACAAACTCACTCTGAAAATAAGCTACAAATAACATGGATAAATGAGAATACACTATTTCTGATTCATTAAAAAAAAAAGAAAAACTGAAAATTGAAAGACACTGGTAAAATGCTATTGATTAAAAAATTAAAAATGAAATTTTGAAACTCAACAGATAAATATTGTTTCATATAATTTTTATTATTACTTCACTTTAAAGGTTTGATGATTTATCAGGTGAAAGGTTCCTTCTTATTAAAAATTCCAATCTAGAAATATATTTATACTTTCCACTTTTTTTACGTTTACTGACTTTCAAAAGAGTTTTGCTCTAAAGTGCAAATAGACCCTCACCTTGACGTGGTACATGACGGCGTTGTATGCGCCGCTGAGAAACTCAATGCACAACTCCTTGAGGAAAAGTCGGATGCTGTACGCAGAGCGCCTCTCTTGCACGTCAATGTTGTCAGCCCGCCTGTTTTTCGGCGTCTTCACTTTGCTCTGCGGCGTCAAACTTCTGAATTACTGGAGAAAAAAATCATCCTGAGCAGTACATACCTTGTTCAGATCGAAATCGATGGAGGAAAAAGCGTTGAGTGGCTTGTGGTAAATCATGTCGCGCTCGCTGATGGACTTGACGTTTGTCAAGCAGTACGTGCCGCCAAACTTAGAGTGTCTGCAGAGGGCGGCCATTAGTGGAGACGGAATAATGGACCACGAGTGCTTACAAACCTCGATCCTTTGAGCTGTTTAATTTTCGCCTGCCTCGCCTCGATCTCAGCATGTCTTAATCTGCTTAATTCACTCTCGTCCCTCTTGCGCTCCTCCAAACTACGAGCTGCAGCCGCAGTTGCTAGCTCGGACGCGTTCTGCTCCCTCAGCATTTGGGATAAAATCTGGTGATAACATCAAAGACCAAAGTGAATGCATTATTTATTGAGCAACAGTTTCGGGCCGAATGTAGCTGCAGATTTTTTGTAAAAGAACATTGCATTGAAAAATATATTTTAAAATATTTTTTCACCATTAAATAAAAAAGTTAATTTTTAATAATTTAAACTTCTTTAATTGAGCGTAAAATATTCAAAGCATATCATAATATAAAAATGTAAATTTGAGATTGGGCAAAAATTGTGAAACATATTAAGAATTAAAAATTTAAACCGTAAATATTTTTAATTAGGACAACTTCAGACAAAATTTAATCCAATTCTTTTATTCTCTCAAATAATAATTAAAAATTGGAGTTACCTCAAGGATGTGCATGTAATAGGGTTGCTCGCTCTCTGTGGAAGCCAGGTAGAGGAAAATGGCATTGATTCCCGAAGTGTGGCAAACCCACAGCACCTGCACAACTCTTGCTAATTACACACGGAATGCAGAGCAAACAGGAGCAGCTGATCGATGAATTTGCATGCTCGCGATTGTTAACTAATAATTGATAGGCTGACCTGGTCATGGATGGAGGCGTCATTGTCGGCGCGCTGCTCGTCGGCAAGGTCCGCCGGCACTTGCAGAACGTTTCGCACTAGGATCAGGATGCGTTCGATCTCAATGTTGGTGTCCTCGTCTCGGTCCGTCCATTCCTTGCAAAACACACAAGAGAACGCTGTGTTTATTCTGTGGCCTGTTTCTGAGAAATGGGGCTTACGATTTCCAGCAGCGACCGCAACTTTTGCGAAAGGACCGTGAATATTTCCTCGTCGATGAAAGCCTTCTTGTATTCCTGAGAGAATGGGAAATTATGTAATAACCAGCTGCTGTTTTCCAGCAAAAGGAAAGCACAAGGAAAAAAAGAGACGCACTTGCTGGTGGGTGAGGAGGTTTAGGTAATTCTTTCTCTCTTGCGGGTCAGAGGGCTCCTCTTCTCGAAACAGCAGCAAAACAGGATGGGTCAAATTAACCATCAACCTGCAAATTTATATTTATATTTAAATGAAATAAAGCGTGTTAAAAAAATCAATTGAAATCATTGTTTAAAAAAAACTGCTAATTACTGAAAAGTATATTATTTTCATCAGAACATAATTTTTTAAATCAAATGAAATTTAGAATTTGAATTTTTGGAGACTTTGATGTGCAGATAATTTAACAGAAATGTGAGGTTATTAAGTGATATTTTGCAGGGTGAATTATATTGTATACTACTGAAAATTAAAAAAAAAATCAACCATTTTTTAATGAAATTTATTACTTTGATAGAAATTCAATATTTTGGACTTAAATTTTAACATTAAAAAATGCTATGATGAAATTATTTCATAAAATAGAGTGACTGATAAATTCCTAAAACATGCATTTTTTTATAAATTTCCCCACTATGAAAATTTCATTTTGTAATTTTGATTGATTTTTACAGCCAATTAACTCTATTTAGACAAATCAAAATATGAAACAAGAGTGTGGCCTCAAAGCGCTTAAACAAAGGAGGAAAGTTAAAGGGGTGTAAAATTTGCTGGTTTTCGAGAACACAAAAGTACAAATTTGTTTAGAATTTGAAGCCGAGATTGACGAGGGAACCCACAACGAACAGATTTTCCACCGCACGCACCGGCAGAAACGCATTTTGCGCCAAACTTAATTAAGGCAGGCGGAAAGTTGGATAGGCGGCGCGCAGCAGCAGCCCTTTTGCGCCACCGCCGTGATGGGGAGCGACTTTTAATATTTGATGACGGCGGAAGAAAGAGTGAAAGAGCGTTTTGCTCGGCTCGCGTATCGGAGTATTGGAAAATATACATATATATGTATATACGGGCGGCATAATTACCTGAGAACGATGCTGAAGAGTTCCTTGTCGGCATGGTAGTCTTTCATCAGCGGCAACAAATCCTTCTGCAGCACTTTCGCCTCGCCCAGCATCTGCCGAGCCTCGTGCTGAGAACCATCGCGGCGCAGGTGGCGGATCAGCTCCTTCACCGTTTCTACAAACGTGCAAATGGGACGATTTTAATTTTATTTTCTAATTTGGTCGCTTTTGTTGGTTAAGCATTTGCTTTCAAATTAGTAAAAACAAAAAATAATTAACAATTCTGAGTAAATTTTTTTATTTGTATACAATTGTCAAATTTTGTGTTAAAAATCATTTTGTGTAAAAATGCAACTTTTAATAATTTTTCACGGAAAATTGTTGCTTTGAAAGAAAAATATCTTAAAAGTTTGATTTTTGCACTAGTTTTAGTCAAAATCATTTCACAGCTCATGAGTTCGCAGCCAAAACATGCAGAACATGATATTTTTTTTCTTAAACAACTCACAAAACAAAACCTATCAAAGAAAAGCCGACTTAAAATTGGAATTTAAAAAAAAAATCAAATGCTGGTCTTTAGAAGGAATATTGCAATGTTTAAAGTTCATGATATACATCTTAAATTAATTATTTGCTTAAAACATAATATACTCTGTTTACAGTTTCAAATAAAAATCAATAAAAATGATGAAATAAATTTTAATAATATTATAATTTTAGAGGGATCGATTCACAAGCCTAAAAACCCTTATAAAAATAAAAATTTGCGTACATTGCTGAATTAAAAAAATTTGTCAAAGAGAAAAATATTCCAGTCATCCCTGGAAACCACTTTTTAAACAAACCAAAATTAATCAACCTTTAAATTTATAGAACAACGTAATTTGCAAAAAAAAGTGTGACAACACAAAACTGCAGGTTGACTTGCAACCTTTCATTTCTGCCCCAAGACCAAGAGTTTTCCCTGAGAATGCACAAAATTTTGATATTTATGGCATTGCGATGTGCAGTTGTTCCTTTTCCTGTGTTGTTTTTTTCGTAAACTTAATTATAGCGCTCATTAGGTAGAAAAAATAAAAAAATACATGGCAGATTAGGATCAATTTCAAATTTTATGCATCCAAGGTTTTCTATCAGTGATTTTTTTTTTATGTTTACTCATAATCTTTTAAATATTAAATCCTCAAATTAGTCAATTTTCACTGCGATTTTTGTGCTAAATTTGTGATAAATTACTTGTTTTTTCTCACGTGTGGGGCCAGAATTGTGCAGGGCTGAAGGCAGCTTTCGATTCTGGCCCTATCGTTTTTATCATAAAAGATGGAATGAAGAGCGGCCAGAAAGGGTGGCCACTTGGCCAGAATCATAATTCATAAAAGAGTCGCATGATAGGATTAAAATTCTTTTTCTAGTGCATGAATCTATTGAAATTATCAAGAAATGATTTAGTTATCCAATACATAATAATTATGTATATTGAAACATACATTCCGCTCTGTTAATAAAGTTGCCGTTGCCAATTATGACAATTAAGGGGCCAGAATTGCAATACAACCATTATATGCGCAGTTTAAACAACACAAAAATACGAAGAAGAAAGAAAATTCGACTCACCGAAGCAGTATCTGTCTTTGGTGTATTTCTTTCCGTCGAAGAAGCCGAGGGCATTGCATGCCGCGGCAATTTCGGCCGAAAGCCTTGGGTTGATCATTTTGAGCTCGCCGAATCGACAGAGTTCGCGTTTGAAAGTCACAAAACTATTGAAATTCCTTCACAGAAACACTTCAACTAACTTAAAATGGATATGAAAGGCACAATTAAAGTCACAAATCGTCTAAGAACGATTTGAAATCGCACCGGCAATTCACTTTGAGCACAACAACAATTCTGCACCATGAACATCTGATTCCCGCCTGGTCGGCCAACGACGACGCTGATTGGCTCTCGAGGTCACGTGACCTTAAAAAGGTGATGATTCAAACTTCAAGTCAAATGCACACGTGAGACCTTATGTGAGTGGAAGGAAAAGTGGCTGGAATAACATTAATATTTAAGCAATTTTGTTAAGTTTGAAATATGAAAATCTCAAATCCGGATATAAAATCTGTATCACGCAAATTATTACAATAATACTTTTTGTAACCCATACAAAAAAATCAAGATAGCAGATCCAGATTTTTTTATCATAATTATGTATCTAGCTCTAATATACCACGAATAATATGTTATATTTTTGAAAACTTCATTTAAGAATTGAAAAATAAAATGTTCTTCACAGATAATTATTAAAACAGAAGTGTTATTTTGTTTATCGGAAAAAAGATATAGCAGCGCTGTTGCCATCTTCACATTTATTTTGCATTCAGCGAAAGACGAAAGAAAGACCAACGAGTCCTTCTCTGATTGTGAGACAAACGAGACAATGCAAAGAATCTCCCTGAATAAAAGCAGGAAAAGGAAAGTCCCCCGTCTGGTAATTGCGATTGGTTCGGAGAGGAGATTTTTGCATGAGATGAAAGAAAATGCATCTGCGTTTTTTCCACTCATGAACGCTTTAAAAGCACAGAGAGCGAATTTTATTTTGCTTTGCTCGCGGATTTCAGGAAATCGCCTGTCGGCCCCTTGTATGAACACACGAGTGTGGCTGGAAAATGAAAAAAGCAGAAAAAAACAGCGGGTGTTTTGCAGCAGCGACACAAATTTTAATGAACGACACGGCGGGGGAGATTTTTATTTGATGTCTTCCTCGAAAAATGTTACACGCTGCACACCGCCTGCCTGTAATTAAAATGTGGTGAGCCGCGTTTTACCTGCTTGGGTCTGTTTCGCTTGAGCAAACATATACAACATTTTACATAAATAAGCTACACCTGTGCTACACTACCATGAATTGCAATATCAAGTATGGGGTCAGTTGTCCAAAAGTTTTTCATTAGAGGTGCTCACAGCGTAAAAATTAAAAAGCAAAAAAAGTGAGCTTTTTTTAGCAAAAACAAGAAGGGGGAAATATTAGGTTGCTGGGAGTTTCTACCAGTTTCATTTATTTATTTATTTAAAGGAGTTTCATTTAAAAGATGCCAATTTGTTGCTTTAAGCACATTGATTTTGTGTTGATTTTATTAAAAAAATCGAAAAAAATAATGGTTTTGGAGTTTCTTAAAGGATGTGTTTCGTTTTACAATATCCAGACCTTCCGTCAGCTTGAGTCAGGAGATTTATATGAAATTTTTTAATACAATTTAAAATTTAAAATTATTAATTTTTCCTCAATGATTAAAAAAAATTACAAATTGAAAATTAACAGAAAAAATATTTAAATTTATTAAAATTGATAAATAATTTCAATGTTCAATCAGTATGTTAAATTTATCAAATGTAATAATATAAAAAAGTGTTAATCCAAGGAATAATTTAATTTTTTTTATGTTCAGCTACAAAAATATACATAAATGAAGCTGAAAACTTAAGTAATAAAAATTACTGGAATGTTTCTTATAAGATTAATTAAAGTTTAACAGTTTTTAAAATTTTGGCTTTTGCCATTTTCTGAAGTTTATTTTAAAATTCCAACACCTGATTTCATTTTGAATGAAAGAAGGTTTACCTGATATTTTGTGGAAGCGTGGAAATTTTGCCAAATCAGATAAACCGTTCCCATTACTTGTGGGTTCAGAATCAAAGCAGTCATAAATTGCGGCTCATCCCCTGCTTTTTAGGGGGGAACTCGAAAACAGGCGCTGTAGGGGATGCAACCGCAGCCAAGTGCATTCAGGCGCCTTGCATCAAAAGGCGCTTTTGAAAATAAATCAAGTGGTGCGCCGGCGATCCAACTCTGGAGCAAGTGACAACCACAAAGGAATGTCCGCCCGCGCGCGTTTATTGTGGAATAAAACTGGTGGTAGTTTTGCAAGCGAGAAAGCGAACCGAGCAACACTCCATTTGCATTCCTCGCGCCGCTTTTTGTGCACATATTCGTGTTGGTGAGCATTTCCAAGTGAATCTGAGGGGCGATTGGAGGATTTTGAAAATGGAATAACCTTACTTTGATTTTTACATATGTTCAAGAAGGTGTCTAGGGGTGTCCACTCACAAATTTTCAGACCCCTAAAAAGGGGCGTTCCCAAAAATTTTGATAGGTCAAAAATGGGCAAAAATTAATTTCAATTTGCTTTAACTTTGGAACGGATAAAGCTATCTTAACGTTTCTATCTGATCCTGGCCTAACTTTTTACGCTGAACAACTTTGCTGTTGACACCAAAGTTGTAGGTCAAAGGTCAAGGTCACTTTTTGGTGACCCTTGGTAAAAAAGTCAATTTTTGAAGGTGATGGCCACCTTCGATTTTTTTCGTGGTATAGGAAAAAATGTAGCCCGTGAAATTTTGCATCACATATGTAAAATTTGGGAGGGTGTTATTTTTTGTTTTTGAGTAATTAACCCCTAAATAGAAAAAAACGTGTCCGACGAGGATATAAATTTTTGCAATAATTGCCAAAAGCAAAGGGAAACAAAAGAAATCGTGCCAGTTTGGTTCCAATGCTTAAAAAACATCATATTAGGGTGAATGCAACATGCATCTGACCCCAAGGGTCTTTCAGGGGTGCTTTTTACCCTTTCGATGGTCTTTTAAGCGTTCGGAAAGTTTATTACATAATTAAACTGTGTTTAATATCAATTCTTATGTTTTCCGGTGCGGAAAAGAAGAATTTTAGGTCAAATACATCTTCATTTGTCATTTTGGATAAGAATTTAACATAATTATTAATAAATTTAATTTACTAAAAAAGATTTTTTCATAAGATTTTGAGATGTTAAAATCTATGGTCTAAATGATGACTAACGATGTAATTGACCTAAAATTCTTCTTTTCCGCACCGGAAAACATAAGAATTGATATCAAACACAGTTTAATTATGTAATAAACTTTCCGAACGCTTAAAAGACCATCGAAAGGGTAAAAAGCACCCCTGAAAGACCCTTGGGGTCAGATGCATGTTGCATTCACCCTAATATGATGTTTTTTAAGCATTGGAACCAAACTGGCACGATTTCTTTTGTTTCCCTTTGCTTTTGGCAATTATTGCAAAAATTTATATCCTCGTCGGACACGTTTTTTTCTATTTAGGGGTTAATTACTCAAAAACAAAAAATAACACCCTCCCAAATTTTACATATGTGATGCAAAATTTCACGGGCTACATTTTTTCCTATACCACGAAAAAAATCGAAGGTGGCCATCACCTTCAAAAATTGACTTTTTTACCAAGGGTCACCAAAAAGTGACCTTGACCTTTGACCTACAACTTTGGTGTCAACAGCAAAGTTGTTCAGCGTAAAAAGTTAGGCCAGGATCAGATAGAAACGTTAAGATAGCTTTATCCGTTCCAAAGTTAAAGCAAATTGAAATTAATTTTTGCCCATTTTTGACCTATCAAAATTTTTGGGAACGCCCCTTTTTAGGGGTCTGAAAATTTGTGAGTGGACACCCCTAGACACCTTCTTGAACATATGTAAAAATCAAAGTAAGGTTATTCCATTTTCAAAATCCTCCAATCGCCCCTCAGATTCACTTGGAAATGCTCTGGTGTTCTCTGTTCTGCGGCGATAAAACTCGGGCTATTATGGCCCGCGTGCCTCGTCTGTCCGCCAACGCTTTTCTCTATGGCCCGAATTCGCTCTGCAATTTAATACGGCCGAAGAAACACCTAGACTGCTGCTTTAATTAAATGTTGTGCTCGACGCTCCTTTTAAGCGTTTGTCCGTGAACATGCGGCTTTTCCTTAATTGCCATTTTCAGTCATAATTTGTTTTTGATCCGCATATAAACCCTTTTTTGCCACGATTAAAATTTTATTATTTTTTTATTGTTGAATTTTTTAAAAATTATAAAATTCATGTTAAACATATTTGTTGTCCTTTGTGATTTGTGAGAGACGTGTAGTTTGATAATTTAAATTTTTGTTAGTGTATTTCATGCATTTATAATTAGACGATATTTAAATATATTTCATAATAATTGTTCCTACTCTCAATTAGCTTAGAGCTGAAAAATATAGCAGTCACTTTGAAAAAATGAGAATTTTTGAAAGAAAAACAATTTGGAGCATTAGTCGGTGCGAGAGACAATTAATTCAATAAATTGAGTAGCAATAGGGATACAGGTGCGTATTTTAAAAATTACAATACTGAGACGCTGAGACGTATGCTCTGTGATTTTAATAGTCCCACTTACGAGCAGCAAAATTCAGCAGACGCCATGAAAAAGTGACAGAAGTTTCGAATAGAAATAAATTCAGCAACAATTGTCTACACGATAGACGTGTTAAATTTAATATTTTCCCTGTCAGAAATCTCTTGTGAGTTTTGGCACAATTCCAGAAAAATTAATCAAATTTTTGTTCAAATTATCTTCAATGTTTTCAATAAAAAAAATTAAAGGAACAAAATTATTTTATTAATTGTGAGCATTAATTTACATACTAAGTTACTTGTTATATTTAATTTTCTAAAATGACCTAAAAAGTTTTTCTTTCTCCAAATAAATTTTTTTTTTCAATATGTTAGTAGATTTGAAATTTTGAACATTTTATCTTGTATATTATGTATTCAATGGAAATACTTGAACCAGAATTGCACACAGTTGCAGTACTAGAGTTATAAAGCGGAAATGCAACCACTTTTTAGCATCTGGATTCTATAATGAAGAGATCAGAATCGTCGGGAGTGCACATGCAGCAGTGCAAAATTGCGCATAATTGCAAAAAGGAGGGCAGAAAACGTTCGTTTTGCTGAAGTGTGCGATTTTACGTGCATTTTATTAAAGCTAACAGGCGGCGCGTTATCTCCGCTCTCTTGGGCAGCAGCGAGGAGGAACGTCGTGGGGATTTATGC